CAATTGTGCGTTTTCACTGTAAGTCTGTTTGTGGACTCACCGTTTGGCTTTCCGGGAAATCCATCTTAATCAGTTTGTGAGCACACTCCTCAAAGTCCAAGCTGCAAAAACAATCAATCTATTAATCAATCAAACAATCGATCACAGGTGTACAATTGTGAGCTCATGCTGGTGTGTTTCTGTTTGTGTCGTTTAATCAATCGGCTTCACTCTTTCGTCCTGTTGTCCAAGCTTGTGAACCGTTCTTCAGTGAAACCATGGTAACGAGGTTGCTCATACACAGGGTTGTATAGCTGTCTTTGTGAGCGCACTCTGTGGCCTAATACATTTCCTAGCACTAAACTCGTAACCAGCCTTGAACAGGCTTTTTGAAGGGAGGATTAGTCAGAGTCCTCCCTCCTAAGGTTTTAAATTCAAACAGGTCCTCAGAAAGACACACGCACGCACACACGCACACACACACACACACACACACACGCATGCACAGCCTTAATTATCAGTCCAACTCAATCAAATATAGTGGGAGCTGTAAATAACTGCCAACACCCGCAGAGAAAACTACGTCACTCACTGTATGAATGTGTATTTTTAGGAGTGTGTTCCACCGTGTTTGTGTACCTGGACTGGATAGCGAGGTAGATGGTTCTTCTGAAAGCAACCAGGTTGACTTCTGTCTTATCAAAGATGGTGACTTTCTCGTCTTAGAGGGAGACAAACACAAAGGTCATCTTTAAAAGGGAGCTGATTGGATGTGTTAAATGTGTTAAAATCAGAACAGGAAAAATGTTTAAAAATCAAAATAGTTCAATGTAAACACAATCAGTTCTTAATGAAATGTCACCTGAGTAATTATGGTTCATTAGTGCAATATAGGATTTACATGAACCAATGATGCAAGTAATCTAGTTTAATTGGGGTCACACAGCATGCACTTCACTTTTAATAATACTCAAACTTAGTAATTACTTGCTTATTACTTGTCTTGATGTAACGGTATTAGTTACATCAAAGGTGCCACCAAAAGTGAGTCAGTGACTCATGTTAAAATGGCCACATTCACACATGAAAACAACATATTTACAGTGTGGTACAATAACGGTTCATAAATGTTACGTATTATTTTTGTAACTCATACATTTGGATAAAGTCCAGGCTAAAAATTTGTGGTCTGGTTCTTCAGTTTGATAGTCAGCTGCAGTTTGCTTTCCTTTAACAACTTTTGCTAATCGGAGCTGAAATTAATTTAACCAAATTAACTAGCAGGTATTTCTGTTTGTGTAACACCCATACAGTTTGCTAGCACACTCTTGTTTAGATATAGTCACTCCTGGGCAGGAAAAAAAACGACAGCATAGCAGCGCCTAAAATGCTCATTGACTCATGATGTTATGTTTTTAAATGCTTTACTGTCCGTTCTCCTGTAGCTGCTGTACTCAGAACTATATTTAGTTAGTGCTAATGCTTTTAGTGTAATGCAGTCACAGGAAAAAAATGTATTAAAAAAAATTACTCAGCTGCTTTTACTGGCAGCTAATTGTTTTAAATATTCCAAGAGGTAATGAGCCATTCGATGAAAGTCTGGAGGCAAAAAACTCCAAACAAATTTCTCAGCAAGCTGGCCAACTCCTTTTACAGAGCTCTGCTGTGTTTGGAGAAAAAAAGCCTTAAAAGTGAAAATAATCTGGACTGTCCAAGGCATGACAGATAATTGGAAATTACAGAAAGATCCTCAGTACAACAGTTCTGTTAGCTGGTTACACTAAAGCTAAATCTGGGCTGAACATCAAGCTATATTGCCCTAGATATTTGTCTTTGCTTACAGCCCTGGAGTCAGAATCTCCCTCCATTTTCAAGCTTATAAATTATATTTCTGAAAATGTAAAAATAATTTATTATGGAACAGACTTGGGGGTTATTTCATGATACCATCTCTCAAAAAAGTCTTTAGTCTAACTATTTATTATTTGTGGTGTTTAAAATAAATATCACTGTGTTATTTTGTCAGATATCAATACAACTGTTTTCACAGGCCAAGTGTTTAAAAAACAATCAAAAAAAGCAGACTGACTCTTTTAGGCAAGAAAGCCTCAGCAGATTAACGTATTTGTCTCACCATCTCCTTCCTCCTCATTCTCATCTTCCTCATCATCGTCGTCATCATCACTGCCATCTCCCTCCTCCCCTGAATCGCTGCTACCCTCATCCAGGATATCTGAAATGATGCACCATCAAACTTTGGTTAAGCCGTAAACGAGCAGACAGGTGATTGGACAGTTCAGAGTGTGATGATTTCTTACCTCTTTTAAGAGTTTTATATTTTTCCTCATTCTCCAGGAAGTCTGGATCCATCTTAAATACATCTAAGTGAACAAACACACAAAGACTGTAAACATTTCTGAAAAGTCCCGTGACTCCTCCCTTCCTCCCACTCTCCCTCAGGTCTTACTGAGGATGTCCTCGGGGTTGTATTCGTCATCTAGCGGCAGCATGTGAGTGAACTGGTCATCCTCATCCACCAGATCCAGGCCTTCTGGGATTACTGGATGATCTTTGAAACCATCCTTCCTGATAGCAAACATCACCTCTATCATGTACTGGACCCTTTTGTCAATGGTCGACTCGTGGAGGACATTCCTAAGACGCTCAAATATGGCTGGAAAGAGAAACAGGGAGAATGTGCATAAACTTTCTGAATTCTGAAGTTCAGAAAAATTAATTCTCACAAGTATTTCAAGAGAAAAGAGATGACAACGCGAGGAGAAATAAAGTCTCTTAGCAGTTAATACTGTTGTAATGAAGCAAGAAAACGCCACTTTTTTGTGTGAAATCACAAAGGCAAAAGTAAATTCTCCAGTTTTCAGGGCTCAGCCATGTTTGAAATGGCTGCAATTTAAAGTTTTAACTTGTTATCATTTGTTGTTCTAATTAAAGAGCTCAGCCTACACCATCCCCTCACACCGTGAAGAAAGAGACAGTTATAAAGCTGCTGCTTCAGCGTACCGTTGATTCCTCGAGGGGACACTTCGGTCAGCTTGAGACCACATTCCTTCAAGAAGGAAATGGCGACCTCCACACTGTCATCAGTTGGACGCTCGAGCAGCAGAGTGAGCATCTCCAGACACAAAACCTCGTGGGCCTGAAGGCGAGTGACATCAGAGCAGAAAGGGACAGAAAAAGCACGCACCCAATTAGAATCTGGACGTCAACCCTCGAGCCCTCGGTCAGCATTTAACTTTGAAATCGGGACCTACCACGTTCTGGTTGATGAGATGAGCCACGAACTTCGACGCGGTCAGGCACTGTTGCTAGAAAACAAGATGCAGATTTTAATGCATGACTACTGCTGATAATTACTCAAACACATTTAATATCAGTGTCATAAAAAAGACATTTCTGCCTGTATTTGTTACAGACAATTTAATTTTGTACAGATTGTTCAAGCCTTCAAGAGATCATACTAAAATTATCCACAGCAGGTAGAAACACACTCTGGACTGCGTTCACAAGCTTCCAGCACTGCCAGTTATTTCTCTTATTTAGATCCAGTTTCTTTTTTATCTCAGTAATTTGGACACATGCAGCATCAGTCTGCTCAAATTGGAACATTTCCACCTCTGTCACTTGAGAAAGGACTTTTAGATTCAGACTGATTCTCATTCAAAACCTATTCTCAAATTAATAAACAGAAAAGGAGGCCTATTTTTAGCCTCTTACTCCAGTAATACGCAAAAACAAGCATAAAAAGTAGAATATGCAAAGTCCAACTGATGAAGGTCAAACAGACATTTGAACTGCCTCATGTCCCACCATAACACACATGCTCACAGCGCTTGCTGTTTGTTATAATACTGTAGACAGAAGTTTCCAAAGTAATCAATTTTAGTCATTAATATGCAAATGAAAGCAGCAAGGTGCTCTAATATCTAATCAGATCATCTCCTCCACATGCAGCATCTGTGATTTATATATGATATGCTATTCATGAGTCACTGTGTTTAGCAGTGGCAAGATATAAAAAGTTATATTTTTAATACCAGAATGACAGGTGCATCATTTGGAGGCATCTTATTCTTTGTCTTTATGAGAAGAATGACATGAAGATGACTGTTAGGTGTTATTAATGTTTTGTCTTCTGCTGTAATTTTCCTAAAGTCACCGTCCATCAAAACACAAAAGTGAGCCTTTGGAAGTGAAACAGACTGCGCACAGGGTCATCCAGCCTCAATAAGTTTCTAAAGTGCTGCAGTGTGTATTGGTCAGATGATCTTGTTTACTAGTCCTGGACTTCAATGTTCAGATGTTATAAGTATCTGGGCGTCTACGTGTGACAGTAACACTTCACTATCACTGTTTGTGGATCACTAATCAACGGCGACAGACAGATGGGTACCTTGAGGTTGCGGCGGTAGCTTCTCCTGAAAGTCAGGATGAGACGTTTAAGGATCAGCTCTCCGATCTGAGGGAACTTTGAGTTGATGATGGCAACGACAGCAGCGTAGACATGAGTGAAAATGGGAGAGGCCGTCTGAGCCTGCAGTATCGAGCGAGCCAGCAGTCCCCTGACAGGCAAAGAAGCAGTTACAGGGAGTGCGTCAGTCACGAAGGTCTTTTTTCACTCTCTTTAATCAATCACGCTAATCTGGAAACTTAAAGCTAATAAAGTGTTTGATGTCTGTGCAAAAATTACAGTCCTCTGCTGCACAAAGCCTTATCGTAAAATGTACGCGAATGAATGCATTTTCACTCTCATCCGACAGATACAACAAACTCCATTTGACTTCAAAGGTCATTGAAAATCTAACACTGACGTCTCATTGGTGTGTGTGTGTGTGTGTGTGTGTGTGTGTGTGTGTGTGTGTGTGTGTGTGTGTGT